CCTGAGGGACCTCGGCGACCGCGGAGCTCAACCAGGCGCGCGGAACCGCTCACCGAGCCTCCCACCGACACCTCACACGCCCCGCTACTGCCGCCAAACTCTCTCACTCCGGCCCTGGCCCCGCCCCTTCCCCCGCAGCCGGAAACCGGAAGCGCGTGCAGTGCCCTGCCCCTCCCCCAACCGAAGCGAAGCCTCGAAGGCTCCGCCCACTGCCGCTTTCCATCCCGCCCCCCGACGTCGAGCCGAGGCGCCAACGCCCTGGACTGGGAAAGAAGCGGCGCCCTGGGCGTGCAGGGAGGCAGGGCGGGGCCTTGGCGGGAACACGAGGGGCCGTTTCTCTAGCCCGCGCGGTCCTCCCACGTCTCTGTGGTCCAAGGAGGGGGCGGGGCCCAACCGTGGGGCCAGAACGGGGTGGAGCGCCATGCACCCAGGCTCTTCCTGCCTTGTATTAATTTCATGTGTATGTAGATGAATGGATGAATGGGCAAATTCATACATCCAAAGATATTTCTACAACTATGCTAAGTGAGAGGTGGAGACTAATGCATGGCTACATTAGAAGTTCCTCTGACGTCAGAGAAATCTGCCTTTGAAGCCAGGCTCCATTAATTTTCTAGTTGTGCCCTTGAGTAAGTTTTATGTAATCTCTTTCAACTTATTTTAGCTTCTCTGTTGGGGAAGAAGTAAGAGGAGGAGGAGGAGGAGGAGGAGGAGGAGGTGGAGGAGGAGGAAGAGGAGAAGAAGGAGGAGGTGGAGGTGGAGAGGAAGAAACGCCCTCCCTGACCGAGCCCTGTTGAGGCTCTGACCCTAGGGGCTAGGAGACTGACAAGTTCCTCCACTTCGCTGTCTGAAGAGGCGTGACCCTGGAGGGACCTGAGCCCACCTCACCAGGGATCCCAGCACCACCCCAGTGGCCTAGAGCAACAGTCTCAGGGACTACTGCAAGATTTCCAGTTGCCTAGATAACAAGTCTGGGGTCAGAGCAACAACTCTTCCAGCCACCTGCCTCAACTGCTGGCTCAGGCACCAGTCCCAGCCCCGTGCGTCCAGCCCAGGTGACATGCCGGTGCTCTCCACCCCCCGGCTCTCTCGGGTGACCACACTGAAGCGCACAGCTGTGGTCCTAGCCCTCACAGCCTATGGAGCCCACAAAATCTACCCCCTGCTGCGGCAGTGCCTGGCTCCGGCCAGGGCCCCTCAGTTGCCTGCAGGCGAGTCCACACAGGAGGTCTCCGGGGCCACAGTGGCCTCAGCAACCAAGGCTGGTGTGAACCGGGTGTTCTTGCAGCGACTCTTGTGGCTCTTGAGGCTGCTCTTCCCTAGGATCCTGTGCCGGGAGACGGGGCTGCTGGTGCTGCACTCAGCGGCCCTTGTGAGCAGGACTTTCCTGTCAGTATACGTGGCCCGCCTGGACGGACGGCTGGCCCGCTGCATCGTGAGAAAGGACCCTCGGGCCTTCGGCTGGCAGCTCCTGCAATGGCTCCTCATCGCCCTCCCAGCCACCTTCATCAACAGTGCCATCCGCTTCCTAGAGGGCCAGTTGGCTTTGTCTTTCCGCAGCCGTCTAGTGGCCCACGCCTACAGCCTCTACTTCTCCCAGCAGACCTACTACCGAGTCAGTAACATGGACGGGCGGCTTCGCAACCCTGACCAGTCCCTGACAGAGGATGTGGTGGCCTTTGCTGCCTCTGTGGCCCATCTCTACTCGAACCTGACCAAGCCGCTCCTGGATGTGGCCGTGACTGCCTACACCTTGATTCAAACGGCTCGCTCCCGTGGAGCTGGCACGGCCTGGCCCTCGGCCATTGCTGGCCTCGTGGTGTTCCTCACAGCTAACGTGCTGCGAGCCTTCTCGCCCAAGTTTGGCGAACTGGTGGCAGAGGAGGCGCGGCGGAAGGGGGAGCTGCGCTACATGCACTCTCGCGTGGTGGCCAACTCAGAGGAGATCGCCTTCTATGGGGGCCACGAGGTGGGGCAGGTTGGGGTGCTTTTCTCCCGAGCATGGAGAAAAGCATGTGGCTGGGAAGCCTGGGGGGCAGGCAGCCGTGAATGGCACAGAAGGCCCAGGGGCTGGCTGGAGTTGATGCCAAAGGTGCGGGCGGGAGGCTGGGGATGGCCGGGGCTTTGGGCAGCCCAGACTTAGGCACAGAAATAGAGAAGCAGGATGGCTGGGTGGGGACTGCCCTGGGCCCACTGCCTGCATGCTCCAGGCCACTTCTGCTTCCTCCCTTCCTCCGTGAGGTTATCCTGGCCTTGGAGCTACAGATCCTAGCGGTTCAAGATGCTGGAGCTCCTGGCTGGCCCCATTCCTGCAGCCAGCCCAGAGGAGGCTCTTGTGTCTGGGAGCAGGGATGGTGGGATGTGGCCTGTTGCCCATCCCTCCTGGGCCCCTGGACCCTTTGAAGGCTGGCGTCCAGCCGAGCCGGCCGGCCAGGCAGGCAGGCATTATGGGCATGACTCAGCCCAAGCGGAGGTTAACAAGCAGCAACCAGCACTGCGGCCACAGCAGTGGCGGCGCTTGGCACTCCGGGTCAGTGGCTCCGCCGTCTGAGCCCGCGGGCCAGCCAGGCTGCAGGCTCAGCCGTCTCCCCAAGGCCCCGAGCCAGGGATGCTGGGCCTGGGGCCTCCACCTCGGCAGGA